TGATTCTTTAGTTCAGTTGCATGTGCTGGGATTAGGAGTTTTGAGAGTTTTTCCAAGTCAGAAATGCACTCACAACTTCCAGTTTCTAGCAGCACTAATGCTTATCACTCTACTTAGATCTGGTTTATCAATATATTTGTGTCTCATTATATGACTGAAGCATCCAAGTAAACACCACATTGAAAATACTGATTTTTTCCCCAAGTCTATGGGTGACTTATTTCCAAAAGCTCCCCTCTATTTAAGTGTGTTCCTAGCTGTTGTGAGGCTGCATGGGAACTGCCGTTGAGAAATAAATAAGCGCTCTAACTCCAGTAGCCTTTGAACAGCTCTAAATAACACTTGTAGACTGTACAGAGTCTTCCATTATAAAACCTGCATCTTACAAGTGCTCTGGAGTGAACAACAGCTAGTAAAGATGTCTCGTATGGTGCCGTTAATGGTCAGTTAGCTTGTCACGACTTCGGCTCAGGTCGCCAATCTTGTGGTTTGTGAGTTTGAGCCCAGTGTCAGGCTGTGGCACAGCAGCTCAGCCAGCTTGGAGCCTGCTTCCCGATTCTGTGTCTCCCCTCTCTCTCTCTCTCTACCTCCCCCACTCACGCTCTGTCTCTGTCTCTCAAAAATGGAGCCAAACTAGAGAACCTGGGTGGCTCGGTCAGTTAAGCGTCCGACTTCGGCTCAGGTCGTGATCTCCTAGTGGTCGGTAGTTCGAGCCCGCGTCAGGCTCTGTGCTGACAGCTCAAGCCTGGAGCCTGTTTCGATTCTGTGCCTCCTCTCTCTCTGCCCCTCCTGGTAATGTGCTCATCTCTCTCTGTCTCAAAATAAATAAACGTTAAAAAAAAAAAAGATGTCTCGTGTGTGGAGATAAGGTTATACCTACCACGCCGAAGTCAGACGCTTAACCGACCGAGCCACCCAGGCACCCCATACGAGACATCTTTAATAGCTGTTGGCATCAACACTACCCAGAGCACTTGTAAGATGCAGGTTTTATAATGGAAGACTCTGCATACAGTCTTACAAGTGTTATTTAGAGCTGTTCAAAGGCTACTGGAGTTAGAGCGTTTATTTATTTCTCAACGGCAGTTCCCCATGCAGCCTCACAACAGCCAGGAACACACTCAGCTAGAGGGGGAGCTTTTGAAATAAGTCAATCTTACAGACTTTGGGGAAAAAATCAGTATTTCTCAATGTGGTGTTTGTTTGGATGCTTCAGTCATATAATGGAGACAACATATTGATAAACCAGATCTAAGTAGAGTGATAAGCATTAGTGCTGCTGGGGAAACTGAAGTTGTGTCAGTAATGGATGCACATGCACAAACTGTGCACTTTAAAACAGGTTTACATTTCCAGTTACCCTACTTTCCTAAAACAGAAGCTTTAAATTAATCATATCCAGTTAGTTTCCTGACAAGCTCCCTTTGCCAGCAGGTAGAAGCCTTTGGGTGCAAGTCCAAAAAAGGGATAGGGCTGGGAGGGCAACAGAATGTCAGAGGGGGAGAAAGGAGCCTGCTGCCCTCTCCCGCCAACCAGCAGGCACCAGTACCGTCAGAAGGCAAGGGAAGGAGGGAGAAAAGCAGGGAGGGCGAACCAATCAAACAGGCCTCTTCATTAGTCAAAACGACAATACCAATATCATTAGTAACAAACTCATCACTGCCAGTCATTTACGATTTCCTTACAGTTTTTTTTCCCTTTAGCTACTGATGGACAAATTACTAAATTTCAAAGGACTTACAGTAGCTCCTCTTTGTGTGCTTCAGCCATCAGTGTGAGACATGGGTTCCTTTGTTTCCTTCTGCTTTCAATTTTTTGAAACTGCTTATCATTTCTATTTAATTTTGTTTTATAGTTTTGCAAAAACATTTATACAGTTCCATTAGTTGGTCTATTCAGTACCTAAAACCAAAGTTCTGATTATAGAAGCATTAATACGGTTAAATTTCTGGCAGGTCTAGCACCCCTCCCTGCTCTCCTCTCACAAGGTTTTCCCAGTTATTCTTGTTAGTTTGTTCTTCCTACTAAACTTTAACCACACAAACAAAACTAATGGCACTTTTATTAGGTTACATTATCACAGTAAGTTGGGAAGAACTGACTTTATGGGGTTGAGTCCTCCTATCTCAACACACAGTATGTCTTTTTATTTGTGTAAGTAGGGACACTTTTTTTTTTTTTAATTTTTAAGATGAGAGCTACTGTAGCTTATTGCTGATGGGAATGATCCCCAGGGACGGGGATGTTCATGATGCTCAAAAGAGGGTAAAATATCTTCTGAACTGATGTCCTACAGTGGGTCTGAGGGATGGGCTCTAGGGCTCAGTGGGGAAGCCTGCTCCAGAGAGGTGCATTCAATTGCCATGGCTTCAGGAGGAAAGATGAGCAGGCGGGGCAGGAGGTGGTTGGTGAGGCAGCAGTTCTCTCCTGATTGCTCTTACTTCCGCCATGAACCAGGGCGCAGGGGTCAGGGAGTGGGCAGAAGGTACTGGAGGGCTTGAGGAAAAAGGGGACCCAGGATGCAGGAAAACACTATGTGGGGGGTGGGGAAATAATGTAAGAGGACCAAGTTTTCCTAGAATTTCAGAGGATACTTCCTGTTGGAAGAAAAAAAACCTTTGCACCCAAACAGAAATCTTTTAACAGGAAAAAGAGAGATGTTGTCATACTTGACGCTCTTTAAGGAGGCGGCCTGTAGAATGAAGACAGTAAGTGGATACTCTAATGCATGTCCTTTCACCTTTAAATCATTTCTGCAGCAATCTCATACTCACCACTTCTTCTGAGAACTCCTGTCTTTTCACAAATTTTGATAAATTTCCGTCTGCAGCATCCTTTAATATCTTTATCAGGGTTTTCAACATATTTGACTGGATATGAATCAAAATCTGAATACAAAGAACAAACAAGCAAAAACAAGACTGAGCCAGCGCTCAACAATGATGTATGAACCCTACATTTACAGGCATCTACCTGCTTTCATGCTATTACCTAATTCATTCTCTTGCACAAATTCAAAGATGCTTTGAATATATGTCTATCAGCCAGAACTTGGGTTTCCAACAGCTAATTAAAACACCTCAACTTCGGGGCGCCTGGGTGGCTCAGTCGGTTAAGCGTCCGACTTCAGCCAGGTCACGATCTCACGGTCCGTGAGTTCGAGCCCCACGTCGGGCTCTGGGCTGATGGCTCAGAGCCTGGAGCCTGTTTCCGATTCTGTGTCTCCCTCTCTCTCTGCCCCTCCCCCGTTCATGCTCTGTTTCTCTCTGTCCCAAAAATAAATAAAAAACGTTGAAAAAAAAAAAATTTAAATAAAAAAAAAATAAAACACCTCAACTTCAAAACTTACCTAAAGATAGAAATGGAGAAAATACAGATTTTGGAGTCTGGCATATTTGGGCTGGACTCCTGGCATGGGCAATTATGAGCTATGTAACTCTGGCCATGTATTTAAGCTCTTCCAACTTTTGCATTTATAAAATTAGGAAAATAGGTTTACGTCTCACATTTGGAATTACTGTGAATATCGAATAAAATACCAGCACACAGCAGGTACTCAAACATTACTATGAGTTTCTTCCTATTTCTTCCAGATTCGGAGCAGAGGACTATGAGACTATCTCCTAAGATCGACTGTGGGGTGAAATATACCTTTACCTTTCCTTCCTTCCTTCCTTCCTTCCTCCCTCCCTCCCTCACTCCCTCCCTCCCTCCCTCCCTCCCTTCCTTCCTTCCTTCCTTCCTTTCTAGAAATTGCAGGCTAATCAGTTGCAGGTATCAAGAGGAAGCTGGTTCAAGTACTCCTATTTACACTGTGGCTATTAAGGAACTTCTAAAACTGGGTACTGTACTTGGCTTTTAAGATGGTACCACTAACTACCTTCCATCAGATAGACATATTTAACCCAAGGAAAAAAACACATTCCCCCCTTCGCTCCACCCATTACCAATATTCACTAGTACAATTTGAAAAATACAGAAAAGGTTAAAGAAAATAACAGGGCGCCTGTGTGGTTCAGCAGGTTGAGCATCCAACTTCGGCTCAGGTCATGATCTCAGTTTGTGGGTTCGAGCCCTGCGTTGGGCTCTGTGTCTACAGCTCAGAGCCTGGAGCCTGCTTTGGATTCTGGGTCTCCCTCTCTTTCTGCCCCTCCCCTGCTGGTGCTCTCTCTCTCTCTCTCAAAAATAAATAAAAACATTAAAAAAGAAAAGAAAATCAGAATGACTCAGAATTCCCCAGCTAATGTTATCCACTGTTTACAATTTCATGTATTATCTTCCAAATGTATTAATTTTCCCCCAGATCCGATTCTTTTTGTCAACTATTATACAGTGAATATTTTCTCATTAAGAAATTATAGAATACCTCATTTTTAATGATGAATGCGTATATGATAATTTGTTAATTTAAGCAATACCACTCTTCAATATATTGGTAAGTTCAACATATTGATAAATGCATACATTAAAAAAAAAAAAAAAAACCTTGTTAATATCTAGGACTTGACTCCAGAAGTGAAATTATAAAGTCAAAGAATATAAACATTTCAACGGCTCTTGATCCTTTGGAAAAGAGTTTTTCTGGAAGAGATATTTCTTTTCATATAGCAAACCAGCTTAGTTCTTTCTACAGACCATTATAACAATTTAAGTTTGTTTAGCAGTTGATCAGGATGAGGGGCTAACTTTGGTCCCAAAGAACAGAATGAAATGATTCCAAGTAGGCTAAATCCAAAGAACCCAATCTAAGTTCAGTGTTGCAAAGCACAGGCCAAGTCATGAGCACACTTTTCACTGGGAGGCAACACTCTACAGATTTCTCACATTCAAGGAGAAGAAGTACTACCTGCCTTTATTCCAGACTATCTTTTCAAGGATATTCATAGAACCCACAGCCTGGAAAGACCGACATGGTGCCTCATGTAGAGAAAAGGGCAGGCATGCTTACTGCCATTTTGAGAGATCTGGGTTCTCCTGTATGTATAAGAGGCATATAGACCTCGGGTTGCCATGTGGGAACTGGGTTCAAGAAACTGATGCAAAAATGCTAATGTTGTGGCTACTACTGTTGCTCTGATTTAAGGAAATGTCCTTCACCTCTCAGTACCTTGTGAACTCTACCAGCATCCATGAAACTATGGAAGGTTTACTCATTAGCTTAAAAGTAGGGTAAAGTCTCTGACTCTCAATAGTACTTCAAACTCTTACATTAATAATAACCAATTCTGATTGGGTTGGCAATTGTCTGTCCTATCGAGGGCAAGGAGAAATTGACCTTGTTAGGTGTTAGGTCTCTAGTGCCTTGCACCTAGTAGACCTTCGCCAATAACAAATGAGAAGGAGAACAGAGGTCCCCTAGCAATTTACACAGATAAACCTCCTGGAGCTCCATGCTAGGATCTATTAATGATGTGCTCCTGGAAGATTTCAACTTCTCTTCTTAAGTCTTCCCAATTTCCCTCCCTGCCTCCAGCAACTATCTGTGATTCAGAAGGGATTTCAAGAGTAAAGTTCAATACCTCAAAATAGACTGATGAAGGACAATATAGATGACGCAGTTACTGATAAAAGGCAAAGAGAGAATTTAAAGCTGGAATTGGTCTCAAACTGAAACCTCAGGGTACAGTTAAGGAAAACTAGATCAAGGTACAGCACAATGCTTCAATCTTACAGATTTCAAACCAAAGACTAAGAAAATTAGCAAGGAATAGGGCGAATTTAGGTAAGAAAAACTACTCTAAGAACTACAGAAGGACACCTCCTGCCCCTCTGGTTTTCTGAAACGTCAAAAAATGTTCACAAGTCATTGGGTGCCTTTGACCAAAATAAAGGACCAGAAGCCCTGAACATGCAGAAATTAGCATTTTGTCTTTGTCTTTTAAGTTAGCTATATTTGAAGTAGAATATCATAGTGCCATAGAGACTGCTAGTTTTCTAAACAATATCCATCCTCCCCTTCTTTTTTGATTAACAGAACTCCCTAACTTCAACTGACGCTGTCATGTACAGAATTCTAAGACTATATTTCTCATGTTTCTTTGCTACTACTACGTATGGTTACAGGACTCAGTTCTGGCCAATAACATGTAAGTACAAGTGGCTGGGTGAGACATTTGGGAAAGCATCCTCAAAAGGGTCCAGTGTCTTTCTCCTCCATTCTTCCTCTATCTTGCTGGAAAAGACGTAACAGATAAAAATCATATGCTTACAATGGTGGTATGGAAACACAGAAAGAGGCTGGGTCCCTGATGTTATCATAAAATGTCACACTAGACCTAGACTGACCATCTACATGGTTTTTATACATGGAAGAAAAACAAAGCTTCTCAGTTGTACAGACTCCTTTTTTTCCCCTCCAGTCTACATTGCTCTTAGCCAAAATGCAATTCTTAAGTTCCAAAATCTTAAGGGATTTATGAGAAAGAGTCCTATCTCCTTGCCTACCCCATGCAGCCTAGGAGGCTTCCTAGCATGGACTGTAACTTTAGGGGGACCTTAGTGACTGCAGAAAGGGGCATTAAAACATCTATCTGGGGGAGCCTGGGTGGCTCAGTCAGTTAAGCATCCAACTTCGGCTCAGGTCATGATCTCATGGTTCATGGGTTTGAGCCCCGCATCGGGCTGTGTGCTGACAGCTCAGAGCCTGGAGCCTGTTTCAGATTCTGTGTCTCCCTCTCTCTCTGCCCCTCCCCCACTCATGCTCTGTCTCCCTGTGTCTCAAAAATAAAAATAAACAAACATTTAAAAAAACCCAAAAAACCGAAAAACATCTATCTGTGTTGGGGAACCTGAGTGGCTCAGTTGAGCGTCTGACTCTTGATTTCAGCTTGGGTCATGATCACATGGTTGGTGGGATCAAGCCTCGCCCTGGACTCTGCACTGACAGCATGGAGCCTGCTTGGAATTCTCTCCTCTCTCTGCCCCTTCTCCATTCACATAAGCACACATGCACATGCTCTCTCTTTCTCAAAAATAAATAAATATTAAAAAAAATTTTTTTTTCTGTGTTAACAAATAATGGTAAAAGTAGCAAAACTAACCAATTGTCAATTCCCCTGCAAGGTAATTGAATTCCAAAATGGGTATCCACTTGGAGACATGCCTTATTTCTAGAGACATGATTGGAATTCAAATAGCATCAGTTGAAAGCTATCCCATGTTGATCTCAGCTCTTTCAAACATTATTTAGAAGTGGAGATTAATCTTTTGATATTGATTAACATTGCTAAAGAGGGGGCTACAGTTCTTTTGAAATTGATGAGTTTGAATTCAGACAGCAGAGCCAACATGCATGCGCCTCCATGAGATCATCTGCGAAATCAATTCAGTATGTAGCAAGTATTAGCTGGGAAAATGGAAAATCAGGCCCTCTGGGTCATATTGGCAGCAAGAGCAATTTTGATGAAAAGAAAATTAAGTTGAGGGGGAAAAATTAGGTAAGTTCAAATTCCAACTGGCAGCAGGAAAAGATTTTAGTAGAAGACATTAATTTCTAAAGTAGATCAGAAAAAAAAAAAAAAAACTTCATTTATTTCTGCTAATACTGACTGAACTGAGTTTCTACCGCAGCCTATTTGTCAGGTTTCCATTTCTTAATAATTAACAAATTGCCCTTAGGGATTCCAAGTAGATGACTCAGCCTTAGAGAAGCTAGAGCCCATTAAATCAGTTTTTAAAAGCCTGCTCTAATAACAGAGATCTGAATCTGAAAGATTATTAAACCTGAGAATGGCAACCATATTTTTTCAATATCCCTAAGGAAGCCAAAACAGGTTTACCCTGAAATATAAGACACTTGGTTGGACATTTGGAAGAAGTTCCTGAGTGAGCACTTTTAAACAATAAACGATAAAATGGTCTTTAAGTGTCTGAACAATGTATATTTCTGTGACCCAGTTCATGGAGGGACAATTCATATTCAAGATGAGTTCAAGGTTCCTTATATAGTGTTTGCCCAAAACATACCCATTCCACCAAGTTTATCAGCTGCCCTTCCTTCCCAGCTCTCAGAGAAAAGAAGCTAGTCCTGCTGTCCTGGCTGGTGGGCGCACTCCCCACCATGCTCTGGGCTCTGGATTTCTCCTCCTACTGTGAGTGGACAGCTTCACTCTCAGGCTATGTTTTATTTCCACCAAAGCACTTTCTCAGATGCAAAAAAAAATTATCACTAGATTCTCATAATAAATGTGACAGCCAAGGAGTACAAGAGATGAAGCCTCTCAACACAAGAACATGGAGCATGTGCACTACCAGCAACTTGGCTTTTTGACACCCAATCCTATTCCTTTTCATCATTCAGGAGGATCAGCTAGTCCCAATCCTGAATAAAAAGACACAACCCTTATCTCTGCAGGTCTGGAGTGGTGGGGAAACCCTAAGCTTTGTAATCAAACAGATGTGTTTGTGTTACAGCCTGACTCTGTACATAATTAGCTTCAAGAACTTGGGTAATTTATTTACCCTTTAAATCTCCATTTTCCACATGTGTGATATGCGGAAATATTGTTCCTACATTGTATAAAATGAACCAATGAGTATTAAGTACCTAGCGTGGTACCTTAGCTAATTAAATGGAAACTGTGCTGATCTGTATCTCTTCAATTTCTCACCACCAATCCTTACTGATACTCCCAAGCTCATTTCAACTCTAGGAAAAGCTACCAATGATCCACAGAACACTCCTCTTTCCTACCTGATACTATGAACCACTTGGAATCCTAGCAATTCTACTTCTGTCCAATCCTGAAAGGAGTTCATCTGCAGGCCATTCCCTCTCTCAGAAGCAATTATGTACTTGGATACCTACAGTCATCAAAACCCAGTGGCCAGCACAGAAGGCACAACACACACAGCACCTGCTGGAAGAGTAGGCTTCCTCCCGTTTGGCTTACTGATACTATTGGCTCAAATGACCTGAACTTCTGGACTCTGGACCTTTGCCACCTTGACCTCCCAGATCTCATGCCTGTGAGCTTTTCAGGCTGACCCATCTGCTCTGACCTGCAGTTTCTGCATAGGCACCCAGTTTTGGGACAGGGGCTGTCTGCAGCAGGCTGTGACGGGCAGGGTTATCAGTCCTCTTAGATTTCTATACACTGGTGCTATTTCTTCCCTGTCTTTTTCTGGGGATTCCTCTGCCTCATCGCTGCTGTCTTATTAAACTCACTTCTTGGTCCTCTTCACTTTTTTGTGGCATTTGTCAGTTCATATCAGACCCACTGCTGGTCTTATATAGATGAGCTCTTAACTAACAGCTATGATATTCACCCCCATCTAGGTTCCTGCCCTTTAAAAACTACAAGATCTTTTTTTGGGTATTTTCCTAGTATTTAGTCTCTTCCCTCCCAAAACCATGCTTTTTTTCAGTTTCTCTATTATCACTGTATCCATCTTTCTCGTTCCCTGGCCATCTTTCCCTCACACAAAAGGACTTTGAAAAGTCAATGTGAGGTCAAATATAAGGTATTCTTATCTCAGATTTTTTGGCAACCTTATTCTCCAAACTTTACCAGAAAGGCTCATCTAGTCCTTCTCTCTCTTTTTTCTTATGTTTATTTTTAAGAGAGAGAGACAAAACAAGTGGGAGAGGGACAGAGAGACAGGGAGACACAGAATCTGAAGCAGGCTCCAGGTCTGAGCTGTCAGCACAGAGTCCAATGAGGGGCTTGAACTTACGAACCATGAGATTCCGACCTGAGCCAAAATTGGACGCTAACCCACTGAGCCACCCAAGCACCCCTAGTCCTTTCTTGAAAGTCATCTGGGCCCTGGTCTGGGGGTGACATTTGAGGATAATCACCATGGAAGAACAGAAAACCATGGAACCTTGGAGTTATGCCTAATTCCTACTCACTGGGTTCTAGGATTTGTTAAATATAAATATTCCTCTTTATGTAACACACTTCATTTCAAACAAATGCTTCTGGTATTAGCAAGCATTCACTGAATACTGATTACATGCCAGGTACGGTGTTATCTACTTTATACGCATTACTTTCAATTTTCACAATGACAGGATGGTAATATTTCTATTACTATTGCTGTTTCAGATAAAAGGAAAATGGAGACCATAGAGGTTAAATAAGTTGCCTAAGGACTTAAGGCTAGTAAGAAGTGGTTACAATTAAAAGTTTGCAGGGGTGCCTGGGTGGCTCAGCTTAGCATCAAACTCTCGATTTCGGCTAAGGTCATGATCTCATGATTCGTGGTTGGACTTTGTGCTGACAGCGCAGAGCCTGTGTGGGATTCCCTCCATCTCTCCCTGCTCTCTCTGCACCACACCCCCCTCAAAATAAGTAAATAAATAAAAAATATTTTAAAAAGTTTATATTCTTTTAATGGGAACCCTCAGCAAAACTAATCTCCTAACAAAGAATGCCCTTTAGCCCTCATCCCTTCAATCCCATGGTCCTGTCCTCTTTCAGACACTGCTCAACAATTCTCTCTTCACTGAGACCTGCTCAGTTTGCTCCCACTGGCCAGCACTTCACTCTTCAGGTTGCAACACTGCCCTGGCTGTGACCCTTTGTCCTAGTTCATACCACACTGGCATTAACACATTTCTGTTCTTTTGACAATGTTTTCCTCATCTTGACCTTGTGATGTTTCAGGAGACTAAGTTCTTGAAAGTTACGGGCTTTCTTTTCAACTCCCCATAACACAAGTATACTTAGCATACAAGCAGGGCCTCAGCAGGGGTTAGCTGAATGGGGTGTATGAGGTCTTTAATGACAAGAGTCTCATCTTTTTAATTGCACCAGTAAGGCGTAGATGACTCATTGCTCACTGGGACAGATGGGCCATGGCAGGCTGGCAACACAAGAATGAAAACAACTAACATTTGTTGAGTTCTTACCATGTCAAGCACTATTTTATGCACCATAGGTATACTAATTCCCTGGGTTAGGTACCATAAACAGGATGCAATTAGCACAAAGATTATTCTCAAGTCTCAGTCAAGACAAAGTTAAGAGTCTATCTCCTTCCTGTCTGTATTCACAGCTTTCTGTAGTCATGTGTTATACCTGCAGCATTTAGCTACATCTTGTATCTGAGCATATCTACATTTCTCACCTGTTTATAAACTCCTGGAAGCACAGCCGGTTGACTCCTGTTAGAGGGGCTATAATGTAACTTTAACACAGAGCTCAATAAATCACTGAATTGAATCAAGATCTTAGGAGATCAAAATTCCTTATACACAGATTTAAAAAATCTAGACATCATCTTACTACCTTTCAAGCCTTACTTTAAACAAAGAAGTCACTTACATTTAAATTAGTGCAGATAATGCTTTCTGGCTTCATGATTTGAGAAAAAATTGATATAGCTTTCGCCACCTGGTTCTAGAAGAAAGAAAACCAAGTTATACTTCAAATCATATGAACATTACTCTGCTGTCATAAAGACTTTTTAAAGACAGCAGGATATTCCTATTCATGGTGCCCCAGGGATTTTGAAGTCCACAAAGAAAAAGTTTTTTTGGTAATCAAAAATGACCTTTCTGGGGCGCCTGGGCGGTTCAGTTGGTTAAGCACCTGACTCTTGTTCAGGTCATGATCTCATGGTTCATGAATCCAAGCCCCGAGATGGGCTCGGTGCTGACAGTACAGAGCCTACTTGGGATTCCTCTCTCTGCCCCTCCCCCACTCATGTGCTCACTCACACGCTCTCTAAATAAATAAATAAATAAATAAATGTTTGCAGGAAAAACAATGAACTTTCTACAAAATATTTCCTACATTTGCATATTACTAAATTTTAAAAATAGTTTCCAAAATACTTTATTTTTATTGAAATATAATCAACACACAGTGTTACGTTAGTTTTACGTGTACAACATAGTGACTCAACAAGTCTATACAATAAATTGTGCTCTCCACAAGTGTAGGTGCCATCTGTCACCATACAACGCTGTTACAAGGCTATCGACTATACTCCTTATGGTGTGTCTTTCATCCTGTGACCTATGCACTCCAAATCTAGAAAATTACCAAACATTTTAATAAACTGAGTTCGTTTTTTTTAAAATGCTTATTTATTTATTTTGAGAGAGAGAGACAGCGCATGAGCAAGGGAGAGGCAGAGAGAGAATCCCAAGTGGGCTCTGCAGTGACAGAGGTTCAAACCCACGAACTGTGAAATCATGACCTGAGCTGAAATCAAGAGTCAGACACTTAACCAACTGAGCCACCTAGGTGCCTCTGAGTTCTAGTTTTTAAGATGGGGGCATAAAGTTGGCATTTCTCCTTCTCCCACGGGACAAGTTTTGAAGAAAAAAAAAAGAAATCAAGATTAAGAAGCAGAAATGCGAACTCCATGCCTGACATAATTAGAAGAGCAGAAACCTTAAAGCTCACAAGAGATGGAAGTACTGCCAACAACATGGGAGACAGAGAACAGGGTGAGTTCTAGATAAAGCAGTGAGCAGAGAACATTGCTGCCTATCTTAGGAGCCCACAAAGTAGTTCTCAAAGGTGAGGGCCACGATCTGAAGTACAAAATCTGAATTCCTGTTTACAACAATGGCAATGGAATTTAGGACTAGTAAGGAGAATTCCTCTGGATCCTTTTTGTGGCAAAAGTGAGGCTAACCAAAAACTTACATAGATAAGCCATACTCACAGGAAAGAGTCTGTCACTATGACAGGGGCAGAGAATGAGATTCTTCACTGAAAACTGCCTCCATGTCTATTCCCAGTAGCCAAGGAGAAATAAGGCCTAGGCATTTTTGTAGACAAAACTCAAACATAAAAAAAAGTCCTACTAGTCTAGAACATGACAACATGGCTCTGCTTTCTCTCTGACCTGGATTTTCTGTAAATGGCTGGTGTAAGAAACTTGTCTATCAATGAGTACTCAAAAATGAACCAGCACATGATCTATATAAAGACACCATGAGGAAAAAGAAGAGCTGCCTTTCAATCAACAAAGGGATGACTGGAAAACCAATAGTAAATGAATATTTTAAAATATATGAATATGTTCAAGTATACGTAAGAATACATATTTAAATACATACAGGACTAAAACAAATGTGGGGAATACGGTTGCAGAATGAAGCACAAAGTGTTATGTAGTTGGATAATGAAGACAACGGGAGAAACACTATATGTAAGAGAAAGTATGCTTAGTTGCCTTGTCTTTATTATGTGTGGTCAGAAAAACAGCATTTAAAGCTGACAAATAAGCATACTTAAGAAAAAAATGAATACTATGAAAAGTAACATATCAACCAAAACTGGGTGGTAGAGAGGAGGAAAATGAGAAAAAAGAGGAAATATACTAATTTCAGCATTACTCACTGTAGGGAACTAATAGGTACTGTCAAATTCATTAGAATACTAAGAAGATTAAATCAAGTTATGGTTTTAAAGTAACCACTAATGCAAAAATACAAACCAAAAAAAAAAAAAAAAGAAAACCACCACATGCTAGAAGCAATTTTAAAAGTTGAAAACAAAAACAAAAACAAAACATAACTGAAACCTAAGATTAAATACACCACGTCTATCTAGATGGAGGACATTAAAAGACTAGCAGCATATAGTAAGACAATGTTGAAATCTATGCAGTGTACAAGAGATACACACAAAACAATTCAGAAAAGATGGCAAATAAAAGGATAGGAAAAGATGTGGGAGGTGAATGCAAACCTAATTAAACCAAAGAGGCAAACAAAAACTGGGGTTGCAGGGGTGGGGGGGGGCACCTGGGTGGCTCAATTACGCTTGGTTAAGCATCCAACTTCGGCTCATGTCATGATCTCATGGTTCATGAGTTTGAGCCCCACATCGGGCTCTGTGCTGACAGCTCAGAGTCTGGGGCCTGCTTCGGATTCTGTGTCTCCCTCTCTCTTTGCCTGTCCATGTTTACACGCTGTCTCTCAAAAATAAAAACTTTAAAAAAAAATTAAAAAAAAAACTGGGATGGGGTGGGAGAGATATTAACATTAGACAAGGTAAAATCCCAAAAAGAAGCATTCTAAACAAAACCAAAAGAGGCACTTTGTAATGCGACAGCGACAGACTCACAATGATATATACATCAATGATAGAGCATAACTATGTATCTAAGCACCAAATGGCATAACTTTTTAACTTTTTAAAAAAATACTTATTTATTTTTGGGAGAGTACAAGCGGGGCAGGGGCAGAGATAGAGGGACAGAGGATCTGAACTGGGCTCTGTGCTGACAGGCTGACAGCAGAGAGCCCGATGCAGGGCTCAAACTCATGAACCATGAGATCATTCCAGGGTTCCAGCTCTAATTGTCCTTCACTGCTATGTGATGGCAGGAAAGTCCTCTCCTCTCTCTGACCTCAGTTGCCTTCATTTGTCCTGAGACACGGAGAGGCTAAAAGATCACTAAAACCTCTTCCAAATAGAGTATTTGGGTCTAAGAAATATACGATGACTCCACTTAAACAGCAAACTGACCCAGGATTCCTCATTCACCTCAAGTAAATTCCACTTTGGAGAGCACTAAGTTAAAGTGTTCTGAAACGTTACATGGTAAAACAATCATTTAAAATTTTCATTTGAATTACTTGACAAATTTCTCTCAGAGTGGAGCTTCCCTCACTTGAGTCTCCACAGAAATCTTGGCCAGCCCCTTCTAAACAGCAATGCATGTTAGGTCCTCAACTGTAAACAAAAACATCCTTTGGAGGCACAGGTGTAGATGTAGGTTGCCATGGCACCAAAGGCATTGGTCTCTTTATGGGAACTTTTTCTTTAGGATACAGTCAGAAGGAAAAAAATAAATAAAAGAACAAATGCAAGTAGTCAAGTCTTCCCACTCCCGATTCACTTATGTACACCCTGAAGCCTTATTACCTGATTCAGAGCTAGTGCCACAGCAAAACAGGATGCTCTCCTGGAGAGGACTTCTCCTTTGATTAGGGCTTCTTCTCTTAATGTAGTACAGATTTTCAAAGATTCAGGGCTATTCTGGCAGGAGACAGGATTGCTCAGTAAATAAATGTCATGTACCTTTAAGTTTAACAAAATGATTGATAGTGCTCAGTATTTCAGATTTCCTTCTAAAAGAATTTCCCAGAGCCTATTTCAACCCATTTAACAGATTAAGCCCCATATACAGGCTACTTGCAAAAAGACCAAGTTATCTATATATTAGCAGTTCAAATCTAAATTAACTTCATTTGTAAAGCTTTTGGTCAATTTTCTGAATTGGGGCCTTTTTACCACCGAGTGTACAAGTCTCTTTGTATCTGGGCAGACTGGTTTCTAAACACAAGTACTACAACGTTAAAACTGTAAAAACTCAGTCTGTTACTCTGTGAAATAACAGAGTAAAGCCCAGCAACACCAAAAAGTTTTTCTGAGGGGATTTCCAATCTGAAAATATCCATGTAAGTCAAATACTTAAAAACGTGAACACTTATATGAATGGAAATGATAGAATCCCATGAAAAGACAAACCTTAAAAAAAATCCGAGAACTAAATGACACACAAACCAGCAGACAGCAGCAGTAAAACTGAATTGTCTTCCTCTGTATATGCTGTAGGTGGATTAGGTTTGTGAGAACAGCATTAACTTTATATCTACGTATCTCTGTCATGACGCGATCCACAACTCAAAACCCAAAGTAAAACCTGAATTCGATGAGCGAGGACAGTTTCCAGAACTGGCTGGGAATCTATAACGGCTGACTGGTTCAATTTTTCAACTCTCATCTTCAATGAGTGAAACAAGTTATTTTCAGACACAGTACAGGGGAGAAAAGTCCTCCAGCCTTCCTAAGGAGCAGAATTAAATTCTCTACACTTTAGCACACACTCAGGAAGGCATCTCTAAAAAGGTCAGAAAGCTCAGTAACACAGAGCTGAATAAACTGATGCTCAGGTGTTGTGTGTTTGGCATTGTTTCATAAAATAAGAAAATGATATGATTGTAAAGGATCACCTAATAATCCAGCAAGGAGCAAACTATAAGACCCTTGGCCAAGTCAAGCTTATGGCTAAAAATGGTTTTCAAAATTTTTAAGGTTTGTAAAAACAAAAACAAAGATAGAATATGTGACAAAGACCATATGTGGTAGAGACTGTACATAGCCTCTAAAGCCTAAAGTGTTTACTATCTGGCCTTTTATAGTAAAAGCTTGGGGCTCTTGAAATCAACCCTTTCATTTCACAAATGAATTACATGACCACTTCAAAGCCAGTGAATGCTAAAGTTGAGACTATATGTTTCTCAATTTCCCAGAAGATTTTTCTTTCCACTATCACCCTACTTACTGCCTCTCTTACTTTGGAAAATTATTGCTACCCTTTTTAGGGAAATGTTTTCATGGACCATGCTCTTCCACCTTACCTCGTGTTCCTTCTTTTTCCCCATAAAAAGGTTTTGTTAAGTTTCCAAAGTTTAAATAACACAAATGTCTATAGTAAAGCATGCAACCTTGGTCACTGCACTATATCAACTGTCATGTATTCACTGATTCATTCACTCAGTAAAGAAGAAATAGTTTCTGTATGTAAAAAACAATCTTGATATAGTAATGACATATGGACTTCTAAGTCACGTTTTCTGTCTTGAAGGAGTTTATCTTAGTGTCACATACACTTATTAAAGATCAACTATACACCAGGCACTGTTAGGTGCTGGTACAAAAAATGCCTCAAACTTAACCCCCAGTGGGGAGGATGAAACATACATCTAGTTAGAATAACATCAACCAGTGATAAATGTCACACAGGTGATATACATAGAGCACAATGAAAGGATATTACTTCCAACTCTGAATCACAGAAAATACTCAGATGAAATTAAAGTAGCCCTTGAGTTCACCAAAGAAGGTTGGTCAGATTTCCATGGGAGAGAACTAGAGAGAGGTCTTGTCTCAACGAGTTCAGCATGAGACTGATAGCAAGGGGATCCTTCGCAGACCTTGAACCCAGCCAGCACACTGTTTCTTGTTCTCCCTATCCACAGAATTGCCAAAGAAGAGTGAAAGATGATAAAATTGCTTTCTCCATGATAAAACTGACGTGGCTAACTTGAGTTTTCTAAAAATGAACACATTTAAAATTGAAATATCTGCACCAGATGGAAAAAAAGACTTCAGAGAAACTAAATTATTCTTTGTAGAAAAAAAAAATCCTCTCTCAAACACTACCCACAGGGCTCTAAAAGTTAAGAGAAGACAGTTTTACCAGTTTGTAGCAAATTGCAAAAGCAAGGACATAGGTTTCTTTGTTGAATTTCACATCTTGGTTTTTCATCTCTATCAGCACTTCCAGCGCACCTACCAAAAATGAGAAGTGGGTGGACAGTGTTAAATGCATTCAGGTGAGTTCAGAGTCGTCTACTATTGATTCCCAACATTCTAATTTGTTCAGCACCATCTACTGAAAAGTATATTCCAGAAGCAACTCAAAGCTATCTGTCAAAGTCATTTATCAATTAACTAAATTTCAAAGAAATTATCAAATGATACAGTAAGAACTAATATTTTAAGCCTACTTATACTTTCAGCATAAGTAAAATCAGGGTGTTTAGTTTAAGGTATGACATGAGATGCAATAATGTTGTTTTCAAACTTATAAGAATGAAGTCTCCAGAGTTCAGTCATTCATCAAGAATATAAGGATCATTTTTGCATGGTCCATTGTTTTTCCTGCTATATTACCAAAGACAGAATTTTTCAACAAATTCTAATACTCACTTGTATATTTGCCTTTAATAAATAACATATCCATCAAAATATTGAATGACGTGGTGTCTGAGAAGAAACCTCGTAAATGCTAATAAAAAACAAACAAACACAGTTTGGTTAAAAGTTTTTAACTATTGAGGATATATTTTTATAATTCTATCTTCTCTATCCAGGACTTATTTTTGCATATACTTTATTCATTTGGTCCCCTGAATTCTCTAATAAATCTCTGATATACCAGGATTTATTTTTCAAAAAAATTCAAATGCTGCCCACTCTTTCGACTGTCATGTCTTTGGCTGGGCATACAAATGAGGCAAGCAGTATGGCAAGAGCTCTCTGGGTTTCAGAAATACAGTGAAGGACATCTTCATTATACATGGCTCTCCGGTGCTTACAAAAAAAGAAACAAGTCAATTAACTTTGGTAAGGGGGTCCTGCAATGTAGGTGGCAGTATATTAATATGAAAAGGCCAGGGGCACCTGGGTGGCTCAATTGGTTAAGCGTTCGGACTTTGGCTCAGGTTATGATCTCACTGTTTCAAGCCCTGCATCGGGCTCTGTGCTGACAGCTCAGAGCCTGGAGCCTGCTTTGGATTCTGTGTCTCCCTCTCTCTGCCCCTCCCCTGCTCATGTTCTGTCTTTTTCTCTCTCTCTCAAAAATGAATAAATGTCAAAAAAATATGAAAAGGCAGGTATAAGTATGCATGAGGACTAAGCAAGAAGAGTCTTACAAAGCTATGATGCTCTTTTGGCAAATGAATAATACTCACTTTTTGAAATAATTCACTAGAAGAGTGGTTCTCAACATTTTTTCCTCAACATTTTTAATATCACGATAATGCAACACATGCTATTCAAATATGCCATTAAATGCCTCCTTGCTCTAGTTTGTTCTTATTTTGAAAGCCCACTATGCAGACCCTGTTCTAGGGGCTGAAAATAAAGAAATAATAAACAAGACACATAACCCTGCCCTAACTCTAGTGGGGCTTATAATCTAGTAGAGCTTAAATTCTGGCATGGGAGACGATGAACGAATAAAACCAGTGAAGAAGTAAAAATGTAATTTCAAGTTATCAATAAGGGCTACGAAGAGCAATGAAGCGGGAAAAAGGGATAGACTAGATGATAGAAGGTCATCAGGGAAGACTTTCTGAGGAGACCTCAATGGAGTAAAGGAGAGCCTTGATGACGAGGGTGTAGACCATTCTAGTCTGAGACCATGGGTGTGGCAGTTCTTGGAATAAGAAAGCCCAAGAGTGGAGTGAGCAAGGGGGATGGCAGGTGATGAGACACTACAAGGGACCTCTAAGTCATGGTCAGGGGTCTGAGTTCTCCTCTGAGTATGATGGGAAGGCCCAGAGCAGCCCTGTCCACAGTGTGAGCCATATATGTGGTTCTACATTTTCAAGTAGCTTCATTAAAAAAAGTAGAAATACAGGAAGTCAGTTTTAATGATGTTACCTAAGCCACTAAATGCAAAATATAATTTCAACATGTAGTCAATAAAAAAAATTAAGCACTTTTTCTTTTTTATATCAAGCATGTGAAATCCATCATGCATTCTACCCTTACAGCCCATGTAATTTCAACTAGCCACAGTCCAAGGGCTCCATAGATACATGCAGACAGTGGCTATGATATGGGCAGCACTACAGGGTTCAGGGTAGGGGACACAATAAGAGTGGAAACAGGATTAGTCTTTAATGTCACTGGACTCAAATTCCGTTTAATCTGCTACTCCAGGCAACTTGGTTGTATATGATTATTTCATGCATGGGTCTAAGTTTAAAACAAACAAAAAAAAACAAACAAAAAAACAACTGAAGTTGCATTTTCTTTTTGCTTTTTAATCATTAGACTCATGGCTGTCATTACAGTGAAATTTTCATTTTCCTTTAATTACAACACATGATTACTGAAGTCAAACAATACAAAAACATATAAAGTAAAAAGTAAGAATTTCCTGTAATTCTACCCCCTAAAGATAAGCAGTAGGGATTTCATGTAGATCCTTGCAGATTTTTAATAGATATATACTAAAATATAAATATGTATATTTTTCTTTTAGGAAAAATATAGGTTCAAACCAATCCTCGTTGTAAAACCCCCTTTTCTCTGGTTACTAATACAGTATGATCCTCTTTCTAAACAATGGGTGTCCTTAAAAGAGGGGAAAGTCAAGAGTTCACAGCTCTACCATGGAAAGAACACTTTAGGGGTGCCTGGGTGGCTGAGTCAGTTAAGTATCTGACTTAGGCTCAGGTCATGATCTCACAGCTTGTGAGTTCGAACCCCGCATCAGGCTCTGTGCTGACAGCTTGGAGCCTGGAGCCTGCTTCGGATTCTGTGTCTCCCTCTCTTTCTGTCCCTCCCCCGCTCGTGCTCTATCTCTCTCTCTCTCAAAATATAAACAAACATTAAACAAAAAAAAAAAAAGAAAGAACACTTTATACGAAGAGTACAAGACAGAAACACAATTTAGTAGAGGGTTCCTAAAAATACAAAAGGGTCCCAGGTGGCCAGCCCTGGCCCCAAAATAAATGTTTCTGACCATGTATGAATTTACCATGTGTCTAAGTGCCAGTTTCCTCATCAGTAAAATGGATAGAATGACAGTATCCACCTCACCACGGTCTGTGCAAAATAAATCAAGCAGGTATAGTGCTTAAGCACAGTGCTGAGGACACAGTATATGTTCAATAAATAATTACAGAAATAATTATCATTATTTTTGTCTTTAAGAAAAGAAAATCAGAAGATGTGAAGGTATTCTGAAAACCAGAAAAGCACTATACAAGGTGGCCATCAACAAGAAGTAAATAATATAAAAAGAAAGGAGAATCACAGGTGGGAAACAGGAAAGGCAATCTTAAAATGGCTGCCTCTCTTAAACAATCCCCCGCTAAAAGCTTCTCTGAGAGGTTAGTCCCAGGTCACAACCAAGGAAGGTAGACCCCTTATAATTTGTCCATACATCTCTTCCACACCTGTCCTACACCTCTGTCTGAAAAGAGCAAGGCCTCTTCATAGCAATGGACTCCAAGGAAACCTTAAAATACAGGTAAGAGCTCATTCCTTCAGCTTAGGAACCTTGATCTGAAAAATCTAAGCCAGGAATAATGTAAGAGAGATGCCTTCCCTAACATCACTAAAAACACCCAAGGCTCAGCACAAGGAAATCACACTGACAGGGACAGTAATCGGGAGACAATAACCTGGTCTTTGATGAGTTCCAATGCAGATTCCTCAAGATCCAACTCGTAGCACAACCTCATGAAAAGTGGTCCAAATTTATACTCTCCCAAAGCGACATTTCTGTTCTCTGTATGGTACCTGGTAATGAAAATGATTCAGTGAGTCAAATAGTGAGATGCAGGGAAAAGGACAGACCGACTGTGGCATGTACTCTGCTAGATGCTGGGGACACAATAAAGAACGAGGTACTCTCACAGTCCGGAGGGAGAAAAGTGCAGAAACGAGGACAATCAGAGGAATTCTGGAGTGAAGTATGCCAGACATTTAAATAGAAAGGGTTTGTGAGAGGCCCACATGACCACATGAAATCAAAGAATGGAAAAACATACATTGTAATTATCTTCTCAATATATCAACAAACTGCTAGGATGAGTGCTAGCAAAGGTCAGGGAACAACAGGGCTCTTGCACAGCAAACTCGAGAGAATGGCACTGTGTCTTTGTATGGACCCCATCTAGAGAGGAACGAATCAAAGGAGTGAAGTGATGCTCTGTCCTCCTCAAATGTGACTTCTCCATAGAGGATGACAGACAACCTACAGATGTACTTTACAATTTAGACCCATCGCTGTTTTCCTCTGCTCAGGAAAAGGCATATGTGATCTACCATCACCTAGCTAAACAAATTAAATGCTGTTTTGAAGTTTAGTTTTAGCAAAACGCTAATTTCAGACAGTGACATCTTTTTTTTTAATTTTTTTTTTTCAACGTTTATTTATTTTTGGGACAGAGAGAGACAGAGCATGAACGGGGGAGGGGCAGAGAGAGAGGGAGACACAGAATTGGAAACAGGCTCCAGGCTCCGAGCCATCAGCCCAGAGCCTGACGCGGGGCTCGAACTCACGGACCGCGAGATCGTGACCTGGCTGAAGTCGGAAGACAGTGACATCTTATACGTGCCTTGAGGTTTCTACAAGCAGTCAGTCCACCAGTTAGGATGCAGAACTAAAAATTGCTAGCATAAATTTACTTTCAATAACCAACTCTTTCTGTTTTAGACACCAAGAAAACAATCTGGTGACAAAATAAGTATCGCAAGATTACTTGTAAACCAGATTTTACTAAGACTCATTATGTGAATAAATCACACATACCACGGGGAATAGCTCTGACTTTAAAACCAGAATGCTTTTTAGCCTTCTGCCGAAATCACGGAGGACAGTCACAGTAACATCATGGATAGTGTATCCCAAACATACATAATGCCAAATAGAATGATGATATGTACTTTCAAAGATACACTTCGTAGTCAAATTATAGAAATTATAAAATATATTCAGTGCTTCATTACAAGTTATGAATTAAATTATATCAGTTGTACACCTTAAATATACCTGAGTTTTAGTTGTCAATCATACCTCAATAACACTGGGGGGGAAAGAATTAGGTTATTTAAAGGCAATATAGTACGTGACTAAGGATTTTTAGATTCTGATTCCAAGCTGACAGTTCAAATCCCAGTTCTTTTACTTACTAACTGTATAACCAGGAGCAAATAAGTTAACCACTCCATGCCTCAGTTTCTTCATCTGTAAATGGAGATGAAAGTTCTTTCTCAAAGTTTCTGTAACGATTAATTAAGATGACATGCCTACTAGCACACGGAAAATCTGCCATTTGTGTCAGCTCTTATAAAATATAAGGCATGCTGTGGAAAAGATCTTTAAAAATCAATACATTCCAAAAATAGTGTCATGAAAAATCTGTGCCAGATTAAAAATAAAATAATGCAAAAACAAAAGTTTTCCCAATTTAGAGAACATTTACACTAATAAAAGCGCTAGAAATTCACAAAGATAAAGTATTACCTCTTCTTGACAAGAAATGTTCAAATCAGAGAATCTAAAATACCCCTAATAAACCACACACCAGCATGTGGTCAAGGCTATGGGGGGGGATTAAGTTGCTCCTCACTTTTGACTCCATAAAGAGCTTATGTTCTAGCTCATTACTCTTCCTCCCCAGGAGTGGGGTACCTGTGTCAGCAAGACAGAGAACAGGTTGGTTAGGCCATGGACCTGCCCATTTTCCCACTTTTCTAGCTGTCCACCAGTAGAGGGAAGAGACAGCAACTGGGCAGAGTTATTAGCAATGATTTAGATTTGGGTAGTAAAAACTGACAATAAAACAAGCCAGAGGGTCTAATAGGATTCATCTTTGTGAAACTGAGATAGTATTAGGATTCCTAATGCCATGCAAATGTAAATTAGCATAACTCTTTTGGAAAATAATCTGGCATTTGTATCAACTAATTTTAAAATGTTCATATTCTCTGATCATCTCCAAAACAGAAAGAGTATGTTTTATGCATAGAGTTGCTCATCACGGCATTATTCATACTGATGAAAATATCAAAAATCAGACATTCAACAAGAGGGGTACCTGACATACAATGGAATATTATAAAGTCATTAAAATATAACTCCTAAGGTATATTAACAAAAAAATTATGCTGTAATACTAAGTAGAAAACGCTATCGTTATATATACAGTAATTATTAGGAAGTATAAATAAACCCTATCAAAACCATACAATCTTTGCACGTAAAAAATTAGTGAGAAAATGGGGATGTCTGGTGGCTCAGTCAGCTAAGTATCCAGCCTCGACTCAGGTCATGATCTTGTGGTTTGTGGATTCGAGCTCTGCATCAAGGCTCTGTGCTGACAGCTCAGAGCCTGGAGCCTACTTCAGATTCTGTCTCTCTTTCTCTCTGCCCCTCCCCGACTTATGCTCTGCCTGCCTCCCCGCTCAAAAATAAACAGTGAAAAAAAGTTTAAAAAAAAACAGTGACAAAATGTATCAAATATCAACAGTGGTTGATCCATCCGCAGGTGGAACTGTTGCTCCTCCCTGCTGAGTGTGGGAGTGCCAGGTAACTTGCCTTGACCAAGACAATGTGACAGAAGTGAAGCTGTGCCAGTTCCAGGCAGCTTTACAAGGCCTGCAGCTTCCACTTGTGCAGGGTGCTAGTGCAGCCCAGGCTAGACTCATGAACGACGAGACACTCCAAGGAGAGAGGGGTCACGCGGACTCAGACATCAGAAATACAAGTAAAGCCTCTTGGACCTTCCAGCTTAGACCACCAGCAGCTGACCATAGAGGAGCAAGTGACTTTAGCAGGCACTAATACAGAACTAGTAGGCCTCAATTCCTGACCCACAGAAATAATAGATAATAGATAATAATAGATAACAGAAAAAAAACAGTTATCATGTTCTGGTGTGCAACAAGAGACAACAGAAATAGCAGAATCTGTGATGTATTTCTTCTACTTTTTTGGTGTTTTTCAAACTTTCAATGGATTGTGTGTAATTTTATGTTTTTTCCTTTTAAAGATAACATTAATTTTTCATATTATAAAATTGATAATGCCCACTGTAGACAAGTTTGAGAGACTAAAAAAAATACATATTTAAACCAAAAAATATGTATAATTCCCAGAGAACCACAATTAACTTTTGGTACATAATAACAGATAACATTAATTTTTCATATTATAAAATTGATAATGCCCACTGTAGACAAGTTTGAGAGACTAAAAAAAATACATATTTAAACCAAAAAATATGTATAATTCCCAGAGAACCACAATTAACTTTTGGTACATACTCTTCCAGTATTCTACATATGAACACACTTATACTACTCTCTCTACATTATAAATGCAGGTCCACGTGTAGAAACCTATCTTTCAAGAATCGGTTCATACACTTCCCGAGTAAGTGAAACCTTTGCTAGGTTTCCTAACAGCAGACTATGATTACACGGGAATTCCCCTGACGTGGGAAAATGACAATGGATCAGAGAAAGAGACATTTGCCTTGAGGAGACAGATGATCGAGGAGTCCATGAAGTGGTCCAAGTGAGAGATGACGCAGCCTGAACTAAGACACTGGTAACGAGGACAGAGAGAGGAAGCCCAGAGATGAGAGATATCAGGGAAGTGGAAGCAGTAGGATTTCTCATCCTGTCAGGGAGGAGAGCAAGTAAGGTTAGAGGAAAGAGGCTCCCAGTTATCCATCCTGAGGGGTCAGTACGACAGAAAATAGTAAAAAGAAGCAATTTGTGTGAGTTGAATGTGAAGACCTAGGGGATATGTAAGCGGACTTCATCAGGCTGGTGATTTCTTAGGACAGGAATTCTGGTTTTCTATCCTTAGTACCTGGCATATAGAAGGAATCCAGGAAGCGATTGCTAAGGGAACATAAATGTCTGGAGCTGGGGGCAGGCATGTGGACACGAGATTTGAAAGTCATCAATGTATAGTTGCCAGCTGAATCCATGTTAAATGGATGAGATTCTTCAGGAAAAAGAAAGAAGAAACCAAACCTGGCAGAATTGTACAGAAATGCCTCACCTGTAAATGACATTTTTAGCCAGTTCCACATCATCCCGGGTATCACACAAATGAAGGAAGGTTTTCAACTCGTCCTTCAAGATGAGCTTATTCTGGGCCAATTTCTCTTTCATGTTTCTCAGGTAGGTTGCTGGAAGAAAGCATAGTGTGGTGGCCGTCACTCAGGCTGACTGGGACTGTCAGGAGTCTGACCTCAGGGAGAAGGGGAAGCTGGATTCTGGCACACTGCAAAGAGGCACTGAGAGAGGCTCCCATCACTGACTAGTGTCCTTAAGAGCAGTATCACAGAAGGTCTATGAAGCAAACCATCTGTGCTACAGGAGCATAGGATGGGGGCCCACTCAAAACTTTCTAACATACAATCTTTGAGGGTAAAAACAAAGGAATATGCAATTTTGACTACCTGGGTGATCCTTCTGCACACTAAAGTTTTAAGAACTATGTCCCAGAGGCTTAGTCCAAAAAACTATCGACAGGTGACCCATTAGGAAAAAAAAAAAAAAAAAAAAAAAAAAAAAAAAAAAAAAAAAATGCAACCAAGACATCTAAACCAACAACTGGCAGGGTATCTAGCAGGAAAACTGAAAGGAAAATGTGTACTGAAGATGGGTTTGCCCTAGTGGTTGACCTACACGATTTAGCAACATTTCAAGTCTCTTGCACTTGGTTCAACTCTACCTTTCATTTCTCTTGCTCTCCCTACTCAGTTATTAGACAGCATGACACAGTACTACATAATGCACACGGTAAAAAAAACCCAGCCTCTCAACAGCAGCAAACTCTCTTGGTAACAGAATCATTTCAAAATGCTTATACTTATCTCTGTCCCGTCTTGTATCTGATCAACTGTGGAGACAGTCAAACACCAAAAGGAAACACTGCTTCTTGGCATTAGGAAGGGATCAGATTCTCAGCAGAATGTGGGGTGAGATGCAAGCCCAGCACTAAAGAAGCATCTGCTTTCTAGAAGGCAGAGCTGTTCTCAGTATCAAGAGCTGCCAAGAAAAGTCTACGGGTTTTGCTCCAAGGCCCAGAGCTTTGAAGGAAGGCTGCTTAAAGGAACGGCACAATATGTATTAAAACACAAGACTGGGAAGCTGAGGCAGACACTGTTCTCAATTTAAAGAAAAGAAGGCCCACCTGGTTTAAGTTAATACTGTGGACCATCCAATCTTTATTTGCAGAGCCAGGTCATGGTTAAAGGTTTCAGAGGTGGAGAGGCCCAGGCTATAAGCTAGGCTATGCTACTTGCATGCTATGGGGAGACCCTTGTCTGTTAGACTTGATTCCACATGTAAAGTGAGAATCGTGAGAGCTACCTCATGGGGTATCCTGACATAATGTACTTTAAGCATTTTTAGCACAGGGCCTACCATATAGTAATTGCCAGTAAATCATTTTTTGTTCTCATTTTCATTCCATCACTTATCAGATTTAAGAGAATTTATACTATTAACTGTTTCTAAACAATTTCTAATCTAAATAATTCTAATGGAACGACTTACACTTTTCAATAAGTCTTAAGAACTCAAAATGTCAACAGTATAATTTGCACTTGCAAACAAATAATCAAGATTTAAGTGTTCGTGAACAACACAAGGAAGGCTAAGGCAGGGTTCCCGTCCTGAAAGAACTTAATCTATTTGAAAAAACATGACACAGTTACGCAAAGCTATCTGAAAACAATGATTGAGGGGCACATGAGTGGCTCAGTCGGTTAAGCGTCCGACTTCTGCTCAGGTTATGATCTCACGGTTTGTGAGTTCAAGCCCCGCGTCAGGCTCTGTGCTGACAGCTCTGAGCCTGGAGCCTGCTGTGGATTCTCTGTCTCCTTCTCTGCCCCTCCCCTCGCTCGCAATCTGTCTCTCTCACTCAAAAATAATAAACATTAAAAAATTTTTTTTTGAAAACAATGACTGAGGGAGTGACAGGTGACCAACTATATAAATAGAAAGAAATCAGGGTGGCAGAAATAGACCAGGTTTGGCAGATGTGGAAAGGTACCAGAAAGGAAGTGGCTGGATAGGGTTGGAGAAACTCAGGAGAGGGGATCATTCTTGGTATAAAAATCAGCATGAACAATAGCGTAGAACTGGGCACAGGGGAAGGTGGTGAGGGAAGAACTGTGATTACATTAACAGGAAATCATACTGGACTCCATAAAGGGTAAGGGGCCCATTATGGAGGAGCTGGGAAGCTGGTGGCAGTGCGTGGGTGGCTGTGTGGGGGGGGGAATGTACACAATATGGTATAGGACAGAGGACCACTGTCGGTTCTTATAATGAAGAAATGTTAACAGGATTTTTATAAATATCAATCTGACCATGGAGTAGATTGGCACTCATTACATTAACTGCCTTTCAGAACATATGCTCAATTGTGACAGCTTTAGAAACACTACAACAATTGGATGTAACTAAAAAATGGCATGAGGCCCTAACTGCCAACTTCACAAAGCTCCAAAAGTGATGGGTAAAAAGAAGACTGAAGTAAAATCCAGGCTGAGGAAAATCAGAAGTAAAATGTCCGCTGGAGATTAACATATTCTCCCTCACTCTGAAGGCTTATCTACTCATTCCATAGGTGGTATAATGTATATGAATAGAAAAGTGGTGAGGAAAAACTGATTTCTGGAGGGCTAGAAGCGGTGTTTATTACGCGCCCATAAACATTTGACAGTGAGAGGAAGGAGATCTGAGAAATTTAGTAGGAACAAAGTAAACTGTTATTAACAAAGGGAAGTCTTGTTATGCTTATCAAGGAATTTAAAGTACCGGAAAAAAATGTGGAGAGAGGGAATGAATTCAACAAGAGTTCTCAGATGCTGACAGGAATAAGAACTAGGATAGTAGTGTGTTTTCAGCTTTTTGTAATAAAAATTTTCAAACATACCCCAAAACAGAAAGAGAACAGTATAATGACCTCTCATGTGCCCATCACCTGGGTTCCAAAATGACCAATATTTTGCTAATTAAAAAAAAAAAAAAAGTTTTACCCTATTGACTTTTTTGCAGAGTAGAAAAATATGAAAATGCATCCCACAAGATGGTTTTGTTTAACTGTGTTTCATTTGTGTATAGATATGTATGTGTACAGTGGGGATGCTATGCAAAATGTACTTTTTACTCAGAGGTGTATCAAAAAATGTTAAAGCCAGTCATCTTGAGCAGTTCTTCTCAGACCTTACTGTGCATATTAATAGTCTGGGCTTTAAGTTGGGCATCTCTATGAAACTCCCAGTTGCTGCTAATCCTTGACCCTTACTTTAGGTGGCAGGGATCTGAGGGAACTTGTTCCAACACGAGTTTTAGTATTTCTCTGGGATCCTGGGAAAAGTGACAAGAGGAGAGCTGTAGGCTCTGTAGTAGCAGAAAGTGAGATGAAAAGTACATTTAAGAGTAGACTAGGAAATCAAGAATAAACTATGTCAATCTCTTCTCGGACATAAGGTCATTAGAGGAGACCAAACGGATAAAGACAAAAAAAAAAAAAAAAAAAAAAAAAAAAAAAACCTGAATGACACATCGATGGAAGAACCAACAAAATAGATTCAATTACCTTTAGGAAGATGATTTGCAATAACCACCTTCTTACGCTGAAATTCTTTTAATTTCACAACATTATCTGTAAGTAGATATCTTTTAGCTACAAATAAAAGAAAAAAGCAAAATCATTTTAATTCTTTTATAGTTAGTGAAGAACATGAATAGAGGTTGATTGTCTCTGGGGCGCCTGGTGGCTTAGTTAAGCCTCCGACTTCACTCAGGTTATGATCTCAGTTAGAGCTCCACCTCGGGCTCACGGCTGTCAGTACAGAGCCTTCTTCGGATCCTCTCTCCCCCTCTCTCTCTGCCCTTCCCCTGCGTGCGCTCTCTCTCAAAAATAAATAAAACATTAAAAATATTTTTTAAAAAAAGTGTTGTCTATTTATGAGAAGGCAGTCCAGAGAAGTGGTTACAGTAGGAATATACTGTTGCGCTGCCTGAGGGCAAATCCCTCCTCTACCAGATTCCTCTGACCTTGGGCTAATTACTTGGCCTTGCTGTTACCATCTTTGTAAACCTAGAAAAGAATGGTACCTCTCTCATTGGGTGCTTTCAAGAGAAAAGGAATATACTTAAAATGCAGAGTAATAGCTGACACTAAGTGTCAAATATTTTATTATCACTCACCAGTATAATGGAATTTAATCATTCCCGTAAAGCTATTAATGGACAATCTTACAAATGAAGACACCTGCTCAAGGTCTTTTAGACTGTTAGCTCTCCAGTTGGGACACCAAACTCAGTCTAAGACCTCGACTCCCAAACTTTGCAGAACAGTACACCCAAGGGGGAGAGGGATTTCCAGACAACAGCGTCGCCCCATCTGAAGGACTACTATAGCCCCCAGCTCAAGACCCCAGCCTGGCTGTCCTCTGGTTCCCAGCAAAGGGGCTTCGACGACACCGAAGGGCCAGTACTGCACACGCGCGCAACCAAAGGGCACAAGAGCATAGGCTGCTCCAGGCCAGTGAGCGAATGTGGCGCTTTTATTTCCCCCAAAAGCGATGCCTGCTAAGGTGTCAATCTCCCTTCTGTCCCATTCCTCCCCTCCTTCACGACCAGAAGCCCGCGGATACCTCCGAGAGGGCAGCGGCAGCATGTGGAGCCTGAGCCTCCCACCCCGGGAGACACGGAACTCTGCAGCGTAAACAGCAAAACGTGACCCGGCCGCCGAACTGCGGCAGCCATGTTATCCTGGGCCGCAACAACTACGCGCGCCGGGGAAGGGGGCGGAGCATCAGCCTGTGACCCCACCCCTTCCTTTCCCTCAACCCCTGGGCGTTCTTCCTCTTGGTATGCTCCAAGATGGCAGCCCCCATAGCGAGGCGCTGGTTTCTTCTGGCGCGGAGAGTGCCTCTGCCTCCAATCTCCCTGGCAGGTTTGTGGCTGCTTTCCTTTTGTGGGGTACTTCATTAGGCACCTGAACACTCTTCCTTAAGTAAAGGGAGCTGTGGGTTTTCATCAGAACAGGAAAGGCTTCTGGGTTCTAGTTGCTAGAGAAACCGTTTGGAGCGTTGGGTAGCACAGAAGGGGGAGGTAAGGCCCCCGACCTGTATGCTTCCCTAGAATAGTGCCTGCCAGCCCAAAAGTGCGAAGAGTAGAGGAAGTCATGGCATGAGGGCTCTTACCTGTGATTTGCAGGGTTTGTGTTAGGGTGGTCGTCTCTTCACTGACCATGAAGAGCCCAAATGTGCCCACCCCAGAGGTAGAACTTTTCCTCCCCTCTTAAGTGTTCTTGGAGGGGTGTCGAAAACCTCACCACCTCACACTTGACCAGACCTTTCGTTTCCACATGGGATAAGTATTTCAGTACTAATTTCGCATTACTTAATGATCTGGGGCACAACTTTTGAATGACATTTCTATGCCACAGTTTTCCATGTGTAGAGACAATAGGCACTTCTGAAGTACCTTTGACCTTTGAACAAGTCAGGGATTAGGGACATGATACCAGGCAGTTGAAAATTTGTGTTTAAGTTTTGACTCCTCTCTTACCCATCACAGTCCATTAACACTTTTTTATGTCTTATGCAATTTTATACTGTATTCTTAACAGTATGATTAAATGACTAAAATGCAGTAATCACAGTTGATGTTTCCAACATACCTCCTCTAACTCCTGTTAAAAACCAGCACATACACTGTTGTTCACACTTGTTTAGCAACAGCCATTAACTATGGGCATGAAACCTCATTGATAGCCACCAGGTTTTCTGAGAATTAATTGGTTGACCTGGCAGGTGAAAGTGTTTAGTGCCGCATGTTAAGTAAAGTATGTACAGTACCTGGCATCTCATTAAGAATTAGCTGCTGTACCTATTTGCTAGCATGTTTAATTATGGTGGTTACTAAATGCTTTTCAATTTAAACAAGACCTTGAATTGCTTATCAGGGAGACCATCATGGTTGCATTGTGTTTGGGGCAATCATTCTGATAAGGGAATGGAAATTAGGTAAGGGTGACTTACGAGAATTTTCAGTTAGCATTTGTTCTTAAACTGGTGAACGTGTAATTTACACCTGTGTTCTTCCATTGTGGTAGCTACTAGCTACTTGTGGCTATTGAGATTAAATTCAATTTTAGTCACACATTTTTTAAATGTTTAGTAGGGACCTATGCTTGGTGGCTACAGTTGTATAGCTTAGAACATTTCCATCATTATAGGAAGTTCTATTGAATAAGCACTAGGTTAGACCATAGAAGAAAGGAGTCTTGAAACGAGTAACTGGAAACTATAAGGCAAGTCATAGAATTATGTAGGAACTTCAGTCAGGAAAGACACTATGTGATTTCACTCCTGTGTGCAATTTAAGATAGAAAAAAAATATCAGCATAGGGGAAGGGAAAAAAAAGAGGGGAGCAAACTGTAAGAGACTCTTAACTAGAGAGAACAAACCGGGTTCACGGAGGGAGGCGAGTGCAGATGGGCTACATGGGTGATGGGTATCAAGGAGGGTACTTGTGATGAACACTGGGTGTTTTAAGTGATCACTAAATTCTACACCTGAAACCAATTTTACTCTATATGTTAACTAAGAATTTAAATAAAAACTTGAAATAAAAAAGTACCTAAGATAGTGCATTATAACCCATTCAGGATTTGAAAATGCTGATAAGGAGCTTGACTATTAAGTCATCAAAATATTTTGAGCCATTACAGGGTAAGAGAGGAAAAAAATATACTTAGTACAAATTAGAAAAGTGATTTAAATACCTGAAGAGGGGAGTACCTGGGTGGCTCAGTCAGTTAAACATCTGAATCTTGGTTTTGGCTTGGGGATGTGATCTCACAAACCGTGACATCGAGCCACACATTGGGCCCTGTACTGACTCTGCAGAGCCTGCTTGGGATTCTCCCTCTCTCTCTGTCCATCTGCCCCTGCCCTCACATAAATAAGCTTTAAAAAAAAAAAGTATTTTAAAAATAAATAACACATGAATAGGGTAGAGAAAAGAAATTTACTGGGTACCTACTACATAGTGAACATTAAACACATAATGTGCCCTCATTTAAACTGATCAAGGTAGGCGCTGTCTTTTGTATCATGAAAGGAGCTCAGCTTGTGCAACTTGCCCCCATTTCATACCATTTCTTAGCAAGCCAAGGATTCCAACTTAAGATTTTGTGACTCTAAAAGGCTATCTGTATCGACAGTCACACTGCTTTTCTTTGGATGGTAAACATGTTTGGAGACATTGGTCTAAAGGCCAAAGTAACTACAAAATGACTAAGAATATAGATACAGCCAATCACTTTCCACTAAACGTTGAGATTCTGGTCCTTGGAGGTACCTTTTTAGGATTAAATGAAGAAATTACTTCTTCTTATAGTGGATAGTTATTTTAGAGAATATGGTTGCCACCAAAGCTAACTGGCTGAAGGATAATTAAGTTCAAGAAAGGTTTGTAAATACTACTGGGTGGCCTATTCAGAGTGGAATTTATCAGACTCAGACACCTAAACCTAAACCTGTGAGGCTCTTACTGTCTTTAAAAGGCTTACAGAAACATTCTTTAAAGAATGTTTGTTTTAAGGTGCACTGATTTCCTATTGTAGTTTTAACAAATTATTACAAATAAAGTGGTATAAAACAATACAACTATTACAGTTCTGTAGGTCACAAGTCTGACCAGAGTGTCTTGCTATGTGGAAATCAGGGTGTTGAAAGGGACAGGTTCCTTGCAAATTCTGTAAGGGACAATCTGTTTCCAGGTCTTGTCCCTCTTCATGAAACCACTTGAAATCCTTGGCTGATGCTCCCCTTTTTCAAATACATTTAACACGAGTAAGAGCAAGTCACGTCTTTACATCACTCCATTCTTCATTCATCTCGGTATCTGTCTTTTCCACTTTTAAAGACCTTGTGATTACACTGGGCCCACTTGGATAAGCCGATATAGTCGCCTCATTTTAAGATCAGATGATTTGTGATCTTAATTCTATCTGTAACCTTAATCCCCCTTAGCTATTACCCTAACATATTCGTAGGTTTGGGAGAGTAAGACATGGACATCTTTTGGAGGGACATGATTCTGCCTACCAAATTTGGCCACACATTTCTACATTTTTTATTTGTTTCTCTTGGTCTAGGAAAGTTTTCTATTTGCTAAATTTAAATTCTTCATCCTTATACCCTTATCCTTTTGTTCTACACTCAATGGAGATGGAAAGTGATTAGTTACTTTCTTAAAAAGCAAACATTAAATAGTTCATATATATAAATAGTTCATATATAGTAGTTCAGCTTACCTTTTGTAGATTTACTAGTCCTTATTTGTTTTTTTGTTTTCAGTTCATGTGATGCCCTTGAACAACTGCACACAAAGGGCATTCTTGAACTCCTCTACCTTTCCCCACTCTGACTACCCCTACTTTTTGTCTCATCTCCCAATTCGAAATCCTTCATTGACCTAGATAATTGTCTTTTCTGACTCCAGAATGGGGGGGGGGTATTTTTTATGCTAGAATGAAGCATATTCTAGAAAAATAAATAGAGAATAAGAAATTCTAATAATAAGACAATAAGTCACTGGTATCCTTAAGTGTATAGCTTAACAGTCCTATCCTTAGCTCTTGCTCACATCGAGAAGGGCTGTTCCTGTTTCTGACAGAAAGGAGAGACCTTCCTGGTTTAAAAAAATTTTTTTTGAATGTTTATTTTTGAGAGAGAGAGAGAGCAAGAGTGAGTGGGGGAGGGGTGGAGAGAGGGAGAGGAGACACAGAATCTGAAGCAGGCTCCAGGCTCTGCACTGTCAGCACAGAGCCTGACGTGGGGCTCGGATCCATGAACCGTGAGATCATGACTTGAGCCAAAGTTGGACACCCAACCATCTGAGCCACCCAGGCAACCCTGTCCTTTCACTTTCTTAATGGTGTCCTTTGAAACATAAAAGCTTCTAGTTTTGTTTAAGTTTATGCTCATTCTTTCTCATTCATTCCTTGAACTCCTGTCTATGAGCATTGCCATATGTCAGTCATTGCGCCAGGTGCCCTGAATGCAGCTGTGCCCTCTAGTGAGTTACCTCAAATCTGGCTTGTTAGGTTTTTCTTATTCATAACTAGGGTGCTAGGTTACTGAGCAGGATACTCTGCTTTAGGTGAAGTTAGGGTAAATGTGCTGATCCAAGTCAGATGGAAATGTTTTTAGGACTAATGATTATAAAGCATTCAATTTGTGAGTTAAGCAATAGTTCAGCAAGTATTTGGGTTCTGAGGAGTTCTAGGGCTCACCTATGCTATAATTTAGGGAGAACAAGTGGCTTCCAGTCCTAAACTTACAGGAACAAAATTACTAGCATTCTTACCCATAACCTTATTGTAGACATTGTCAATTTTTTCTGCATCTTCTACTTGGCAGATGTTGAATGCATGTTGTCATGTACTGAATTATGAACTGGGCAATATTGGTTAGAGTATCGTACAAGAATCTTTACATAATCTAGTACATTGAAAATAGGACAAAGATATCTTTAATAAGACATATAAACTGAACTTGTTGTGAAACCACACCTGTTGATAATTGACTTTTTCTTCAGGTAAAAGATGCCTCCTTTCTGCAGCATATGTGGACAGCCACAAATGGGAAGCAAGAGAAAAAGAACATTGTCACCTTGGTAGGTACCTATTAGGCTGTTATATAGGTCAAGTCAATCACTCTATATTTACCATCATGTTCATATATTTATGAAATGATGCTCTTATGATCCCATTCAGATAAGCACATTTTAAGTCTTAAAAAGAATTAGACTGTAACTTCACACATGGCAAAATCATTTTTGCTATCTTGCAAATTTCTTTTTAATTTTTGCCTTGATGATTAGTGTCCCTAAATTATGTAAATGACTCTTTCTTGTTTTTTGCCTACTTTTGTCATATAGTTACCATGCAGCTTGTCTCTGTTTTACATTATCTGCAGAGAAGAATATTTTTTATATTTTCATCCTTTTTTATTGTTATTTCTTGTGGTCTTCAGAGTTGTTTCTGACTCTTTTTTATTTATTTCCCTTTCCCTGTTCTTTAGGTCGTATTACACAGATAGCAGCCTTTCTTTTCTAAAATAACAAAGCCTGGAGAAAATCACTGATCATATGAGCACTTTGTAGAAATATAAATACTTCATATATGTAATATATATTATGCATAACATCAATAGAACATTAATAAAGTCAGACAATTAAAAAAGGGAGGGGGCACCTGGGTGGCTCAGTCATTCAAGCACCCGACTCTTGATTTTGGCTTAGTTCACAACCTCATGGTTTGTGGCATTGAGCCCTGTGCTTGGGATTCTCTCTCTCCCTCTCTCTCTGCCCCTCCCCTGCTTGCTATGTCTCAAAATAAATCAATAAACTTAAAAAAAATAATAAAGTCAGACAATTGGTGATAGTTTTGTGGGATTGATTTAATATTTTGTCAGTTCCAGTGCTGATCTAATCTTCTCACTCAGATTTCTTTGTCTGCTTTTTTGGGCTTATGTTAAAGAATAAAGTCCCCCTCTGTTTATGGATTCTTCTCATAACAGGGGTCTGGGGGAGACACTGTTTTGTTGCTGTGTGCAGTGGCTAGCTTAGGAAAGAGGTAGGGGTTGCAAATAACTCATTTTCTCCCCTGATGTTGTTATTGCAAGAGCAGAGTTGGTTTCTGTGTCCTGGAATGGGTGTATAGACAGGGACTAACCAAGGCAGAGCTGTGGAGAATCTGAAGGTGAGCCACTATGTACTTGCACTGAAATGTAGAAATCAGATAGAAATGCAAATGGATATAGATGTGGTTGGTATACTGGCAAACTCCAATACCAGGAGCGGCATTATCATGAGCGACACAGATTTATTCACAAAATGGTGAACAACTCTTGGTAAAGTTCTGAACAAAGCAAACTGCTTTCTTCAGTTTACATGGTAGTTGCATCTATGAAAAAATTCAGCTTATTTTCAAATTACGCCCCCAAAAGTACTTTGCGTTTATATGTAAAATGGAGTTGTTAATTATCAATAGGTTGCCTTTTTTTTAATCGTGTAATTGTCTGCCATGTCCTATATGCCATGGTATGTGGGGCAGATATTTTAACTTTTTATTTGCAAATTTTAAACTTACAAAAAATTGTAAGAGTAATACAAAAAGCATCTATAGTCTCTGCCTAGATTTGCCAGGTGTCATCATTTTGACCCTTTTGTTTTGCTTTCTCATTTATCTACAGTCACACTTTTTTTTTTTTTTTTACCCATTTGGGAGTTTGTGGCATATACTATTGCCTTTAAACTGACTGCTTTGGTGTAGACTACCCGACGTTTCTTAAGAAGCAAGTCCCTTTTTTTAATAGAATATTCTTTTGGGGTTTGTTTTATATTTCTTCATAATTAGATTCAAAAGGCTCCCCGGCCAGAATATTGTCAGGGATATTGTGTCCTTTTCAGGACGACTTCTCATCTGGAGACACCTGATGTCCCTCTGCCCTCACTGCTGAGGTCAACTTTGATCATCCAGTCAAATGTGTCTGATCTTTCCACTGTAGAGTTACTGTTTATCTCCCTTGTGACTAATGGGCAATTTGTGGGGAGATACTTTAATATCATGCCAGTGTCCTGCTGCTTATCAAGAGTTTCCCCCTAAGATTTAGTATCCATTCAGCTTCTTGTCTGAATCTTTAATATAATGTTTGCAAAACAATGGTTTTCCAATTCTATTAATACCTCCACATTTCGTGATTAGTACTCAGTATTCTAATGTAAGCAGGAGCCCTCCCTTTTCTCCCATTTCTTTCTTTCTCTGTTTATTATCAGTATGGTCTTGTGGGTTGTGGATTCCTCTTTTACTTTTAATGATTCATTACCATCCTTGTTATTTTAGTGGTCAAATTGTTTCAGAGTTGGCTGGTAGAAGCCCTTTCAACCTGAGTCCCAATGTTCCATCCTGTATCTTCCTGCTCTATCCCTGGAATCAATTATTTCTCCAAGGAGTCCTGCTTCCTTTTAATAAGGAATGGTGTTAGAAACCAAGATCTGTGCACTACTTGTCCTCTTGCTACTATGGGATTTTTGCTTCTTGGTCTATTCAGTAGATAGAGCTAGGAAAAATAAAGGTACGTATACACATAAACACATGCACATACATGCATATAAGCTTACATATTACATTACAAATAATTAACTCATGCTAAAACCTCTAATTCCAGTTCATACCCGGAGGGTTCTTCCTTGCCTTCCTCTAGTCCATATTTGTATCAGCCTTCTATACTGAAAACTCTGGCCCCCAACAGGGACAGTGTTTTAATGTGTTGTACAGTCTCTGCGTTGCAGGTTATCTAATTTTCTTGTCTGCTGATCACTCACTACTCCCTGTAGTCATTGTGAGAGTCAAAAAAAAAAAAAATACCCCCATATTTCTTTAGAAAATGGGCATTTATGCCATCTGGGGCCAATAGTGCTCTTTTTGGGAACAACCATTCCAATGATGAAACCAACATGGACTCCATGAATTATATTGCAAGGTTGTTATGATATGCCAGGAAAGCTATTCAAGTATTAACACTTTCCTAGGTACGAAGGGAAATTTAGAAAAGACAATTGTATTTGGTGCCTTGGTATAGGATGTAGTAAGCCCTGTGTATTAGGGGACAAAATTATGGAACCTTTGTCATAGATTCCTGAATAAGCAGAAGCTATTTGCCAGAGAATGAGAAATTATAAGTCTGCAACAAATGTAGGTAATTGTCTTCTCTCTCTTAAGATTAGTATACTTGGAAAGTAGTAACGGCTACCATTTACTGAATGGTACTCTGCCTAGAATATCCTCTGTACGTCTTGGATCCCTATCCAGTCAGAATTGATTTTTTTCCTCACCCTGTATTCTTAAAGCACTTTGTGTCTTTGTTGTGTCGTTTGATGTGGTGAAAAGTCTGCACTTTGAGGACACATCTGGATGTGAGCCCAAGCTCTGAAAGCTTTCAGAAACTGTTATTTAACCCACGTTCTTGTTGCCATAAATTAGGGAGGATTATAAAGCCTGCTTCAGTTAACACTCTGACATATAATAGGTGCTCCCGAAATAGGTGAAATGAATGAATCCCTAGCCTCTTGATTCTACACTGTATAGATTAGGCCATGAAATGAGATAGGGTTTTAAAACTCCCAACTGCTCTAAAGGAAAAGAGCCTATCTGAGACATTATTTTTTTTCCTTCTACGTAACAAAATGTAATTAAAACTTTCGCGCATGTTTTCCCTAACTCTTGAGCGTTTGGGTTGAGATGTGGGTCCTCAGAATTGAGGCACTGCGCCCAGGGCTGCATCCCGAGGATCGTACAGTAGGTGGCAGCGCCGCCTCTGCGGAGACCGCCACGCAGCCTTTGGAACTGGGCATTTGGGTGCGGACCTTTCGGGAAGCCTCCTCCGTACGTGCGTGCACGCGCGCGCGCGCGCGCGCGGAGTCCTGCCCTTAGCATGTGGAGCGCTGTGATTGGGCGCTGGGACCTGGTGCGGGCTCGTTGATTGGGGGAGGGAGGAGGGGCGATATGAGGCATTTACTCCGCGCGTCTTCATTGGAGGGCGTGGGGTGGAGTGGAGCTGGGTGGGAGAGGTAAGGTTCCTGGGTGGGTGTGGGGCTTTGGCTTCCATCTGCTTACGTGATTTCGCCTCCACGCGGGTTACTTGCGGATGAGAGATGTTCGGTGCTTGCTCTGACGGGCGTGAGGCTCTAGTGCCTCCTGTTCAGTCTCAGTTGTTTTCTATTAGACCCTTGGGGGCGCCCTAATGGGGATCTGTCCAGCCCCGGTAGGAGGGTAATTTATTACTACGGAGGTCTTGATTAAAACCGAGGGTGCTATTTGGTACCTACACTGCAGTTTAGGGATCAAGCAGGGTATGAATGCAAGTCAGGTGTTGTGGCAAAAGAGTCGAAAGGCAGCCTTCATTCGTTACTAGTTCTGTGCTGAGCACTTAAGACGCACCATCCCATATAATGCACACAACAGCCAGCTAATGCAGCTGCTGCTTATAGATGAGGAAACTGAGGCCATATTTTGACATTTACTTGAGCCCATTTCCTTTATGCTGAAAAATAGCTTTCTCGCTGATATCTGTAGTAGTGTCTTCCCTCTCACTGAACAGTGGATTTCTTGCTTTAAAAAAAAATACATTTTGGGGCGCCTGGGTGGCTCAGTCGGTTAAGCCTCCGACCTTGGCCCAGTTCGTGAGTTCGAGCCCCGCGTGGGGGCTCTCTGCTGACAAGCTCGGAGCCCGGAGCCTGCTTTGGATTCTGTGTGTGTGTGTCTCTCTCTCTGCCTCTCCCCTGCTCACACTGTCTCTCTCTCTCAAAAAACTAAATAAATAAATAAACATTAAAAGTTAAAAAATACCTTTTGGTTGCAGTATAATGTATACTGAAAAAGTCCATAAATCATAATGTTTAAATTGGTATACTATCACAAGGTGGACAAACCTATGTAAGAAATAAAACATTCCTTCCCCTCAAGAAGTCCTAATACTGGCTCCCATTAGCAGCTCATGGCTAATATTTACTTCATCTCTAATTCTGATTGTACCATGCTGATCCTTTGGTTTATTTTGAGGCAAATCCCAGATAGTATCTAATTTCATCCATAAATATTTTAATATATATCT